TAAACCATTCTTCTTCCGTCATAATCACAGATTCTCTAAACTCCTTAACAACAATCGGTCAACTATATACTAAGGACCCTATAGCCTTACTTGTCAAGAAAGAACTTGCTGCCTTACAAGAATCTGGTTCAGAAGTCAAATTTATGTGGGTTCCATCTCACACGGGAATACAAGGTAATGAAAACGCAGACCTCCAAGCAAGAGAAGCTACCAAAAATGATCAAGCTATAATAGTGTCAAAGATTATCTGCAGTGATATAAAACAGTTCGTTAAAGAAAAAGTGATTAGTGCGTGGCAAAATAAGTGGAACTTATCGGAATCTAAATTAAAAGAAATTAAATCGACAGTGAAATCGTAGCGCCTAGTAAACTTAAAAAGAGCTGACGTCAAAATTTCTCGACTTCGATTAGGTCATACGAATATTACTCATAAGCACCTAATAAGTAAAGAAGACATTCCAGTGTGTGATTACTGTCAAGTCAATATTACTGTTAGACATCTCCTAACAGAATGTGGAAAATATACAGTTAACAGACAAAATAACAATATTTCCAGTGACTTAAAAACAGTATTAGGTGAACATTTAAATACTAAAAACTTAATTAGATTTCTAAAAGAAACATCTTTATATAATTTAATATAATGTAGTAACTAATGTAAACTAATGTCGCTACTGATCCAGGTGGTTGAAGCGACTATTATTAGTAAATAAAAAAAATATATATTGAACTTCATTTTTTACTTATAAAGAATATATAAACAATGTAAGATCGCTATTTGAATTTGAAGACTAAAGTTGAAGGGCTGTAAATTATATCTAAAAGTGACACAATTTTACTGAAAAAGCATAGAAAATCTTAGAATTTTGAGCATGCCATATATTCAAGGTGTTCTGGAAGACTTTTTACAAGGAATTAAAGATTGTTTTATGTCAACAAGAAGAGAGGTTTTATTGATAATGGCTTTTGTTGTTTTCCCCAGATAGGTTGTTGGATTATTAGGAATTGGTCTGTAATCTCTCCCAGTCAATCTCAACACAAAGATTCAATTCCTTACCATACGAAAGCTTTTCTTCCTTATATCAAAGGGGTCACGGACAAAATCGACAAAATTCTTAAATCAAAAGGAATAAAGACAATATTTACCCAACAACCAAATCTTTCATCTCTTGTCCAATCAATCAAAGACAACATTCCAAATGAACAACACGGAGTTTATGAAATTCCTTGCGCAGGCTACCCCCGATCCTATATAGACCAAACAAATCGTAGAATCACAAATAGGATTAAGAAACATTCCATTTCTGATCCGATTCAATTTTAGCTCTAGGTCAACACTATCTTCATACAGGTCACAAAATTGATTTTGAAATCTCCAGAACATAGCTCCTATTCGCTTCTATAAATCAAGAATTATCCAAGAAGCCATAGAAATTGGAAAAAGATAAAATTTTCTCGATATAATACAAAATACAATAAAAGAAATGACGGCATACGGTTACTTTCGACATGGAGATCTCTCAAAATCCTACTATCAGAAATGTTCGCGCCAACCCTCGAGCCAAATCTTGCGCCAATCCCCACGTTAACCCCCGCGCAAACCTCTACCCAAACCACATCACCATTGACTGTATAAATGAACCGTCTTCTGTTTCCAGTGGCAGTAATGTAGTGGTTAGTGATCAGTGTAGTAGTGTCTGAGGACTCGAGAGACCGAGACCTAGGAAGCTCTGAAGAAGACACTAAAGGGGATGTCGAAAGCTCGGCGTAATGATAATCCGCTGTTCAACTGCGGTTCATCCACGGAAGACTGTTAAGTTTAATATTATTATTTTTATTTTTCAGCAGGAATATCTGGTTGAAGTCAATAGAAAAAGCAACGCATTGTAGATGATTACGTTTAACACTAAGCATTTTTTTTTCGATTATTTATAATTATTAAAATAAACAATAAAAATATTTAAAACACATTTCACTATGTGAGTTTTTACGTAGTTTCTCTATAAAAATAGTAATATAGGAGTAGAAATTATACTTTTTGTGGCAAGGCTGTACGTTTGACATAAAACCAAAGCACAAAAAGTGATTTTTACTCCGAATAGAAAAAAATGATTTTTTTCAAACGTCGCAAATAATTTTTATGTTACTATGGTTAGTTCTATTGATTGTCACTTTGACAAATAAGAAAAATCATCGATTGTGCTTATTGTCGCCCAAAAGTAAGAGTATCTACCGTCCCAATTGGTCTAATTATTATTCCATAAAAAAAGGATCTTCTGTTACTATTACATATTATAAACTAAAATTATTTCAGTTAGTAGATGTTCAGATAGACGCAAAATTTATTGTGAAAATTAATCCGAAAATAACAAAAAAATTTACGTAAACGCTCCTACAAATAGGTAAATACAATGACCTCTATGAAGTTAAAATGTGTTCATCAGCCATTTGGGTTGGATTTCGGTGAAATGTAAACACCAAAGACGCGCGCCCCATATCTTTATTACTTTATTAGGTAGGTACTACAACGGTAATAAAAAGAAATATATTTTTAATGTAAATAAAAAGAAATTTGGCAGAACGATGGTTTAGAAACCAGGAAAAGAATCTAGTATTCCACTTTGTTAGTTTTTTGTTTGCTTTGAGTGGATATACTCTTAAAAGTTCCGAAAGTAACGGGTATAACATGGCGGCTATTGATAGTTAAAGTACCGAGTCATTACAGATATTAAAAAGTAACGAAAATTTACATACAGTTTCATAAATCGCCGACTGATTTTAGTTTTAAAAACAGTCCGTATAGAGGTGTCCGGTGAAGAGACGTGTCCGTTAAGAGAGAGCTTAGTGTAGTGTATTTGTTTGTAATGGTAATTAGGAGAATAAGAGTAAGAGTAAGTTTTTTTTGTATAATTGTACTAAAAGTACTAATTGATTATTCGACTAAATAAATTAAACTATTTAATCAATTTAATCACTTAAGTATTGTTACACTTCGTTTAAATCAGTTAATTCAAAAACCAACTTGTTTACAATACTAAAGTCAATGAGAGTAATTATACGAGTATACGTCAAAATCTGAATTACAACTATTCTATAAAAAAATGGGGAGAATTTACCATTGTACAATTCAGCACATTGGACCACTTAAGTCGACACCTTAAAGCGAATTTAAAACAGTCGTATATTCGTGGAATGGAGTATACTAGATATTTTGTGTACTGCATAGACTGTAACCGAAGGATTGTTGCCTACCAAGTCCACTGCGGTTTACTTTTTACCACTGCCTTTTGAGCTTTTGAGTTTTACACTCTTGCGCATAGGCGCACCCTAGGCGTATAAATACATTTTTATATTGTCAATCGCGTCACAAAAAAATTCATAATAATAAATAAGTATAATTCATTTTAAAAATGTTTGAGAATGTATTAAATATTATTATTTGTGCACCAATGCCAAATATTATATATTTTAAAGCATATATATTTAACATTTAATCTAAATTATTCTTAGGGTTGAAATGATTGCAGGGTAATAAAAATAATTATCAATATATGTTTATACTTTTAAAATAGACAGAACTAATTAAAATTTGTTTTAAAAATTTAAAATGATTATTCCTGTTTTGAAACAAAAATAAAAATAAGGGCAAAAACAAGTTTATAATAAAAAATGTTTTTTTATAAATAAAATTGGTTTTTTAAGGAAATTTGAACAATTTATTGTTTCAAAATATATAAAGAAAATTTGATTTATTAATAAAAATAGTAAAAAAAATTAAAAAAAGAAAATAATGATAAAACAGTAAATTTTCAAATGCACTCCCCCCACCATGCGGCATCGGCGATCTTTCTTTCGGCTTTCTATCTTTAACAAGTTTCCACAATGTTAATTATAGATATATTAATATTGATTAATTTTTTAATGAAAAACTGAAACTTTATTGACAAACTGCATAAATTTAAGGTCGTGATGTTTATAAACAATTGCGCTGTCAATTAAAAAATATTATCTCCGGTTCTATGAGTAGTAAAAATAGAACTTTTTAAAAAAACTACTCGACTGAAAGGGCACATCTTTAGCACATATTATACTAACTAAATAAAAACTTACATTGTGAAATATGTTTTAAACATTTTTAGTAAATATAAACAATTGAAAAAAATATTTACTTTTGGGTTTAATTTGCAATTACTTTTTTGTTTAAAAACATCTTTTTAACCCCCTCTGTGGCTCAGTGGTAAGAGCACCTACCTTTGAACGTAAAGGTAGTGAGTTCGAATCTCACCTGGGTGGAGAAATTTTCGTTTATTAAAAATTAATGAATGAAAATAATTTCTATCCTTGTGCGATCGGTACTCACCGGAGGGACCGCAGACGTTTGGATACAATTAGCGTCTCTTAGCAAAGACAATGACGTCGACTTTGCTAAGTATCAAGACAATTACTCTACACCTACACACACACTACACTAGGTACCTGACTGTAAAAATTCACTGTACCATGACAATGACCATTAGTTATCGACGCATTAAACTCAATAAAAAAAAATAATTTAGTAAATCTTATTTTAAAGAACACATATTTTAAAGAAAGTCGTCTGTTGAACGTTTTCATTTAGGATCGGTAGTTTTTTCACAATATTAAAATGAATAAAAATAATAAATTCTCTTCTAAAAATTTCGATACTCACGAGATGGTACGTATTATTGTACGAATTTTCTATTGACTTCCCCTAGATATTCCAGTTAAAAAATAGCGTCCAGTAATTTTTCGATTTTTAAATTCTTCGTTTTCTGGGGTATAATGTCAAACAGAAAAATTTTCTTATTTGTTCTAGATAATCTCTTCAAATAAAGAAAATAAAAAAGATTTCCGCAGAAATATTATTTTCACAATACCAAACAAGCAACTCATACAATGTTTACTTGCGTACGAAGTACAATTATTATGTTACGTCACTGCAAAATTAGCACTACCAATAAAGTTGTGAAACAACTTACCTTCTTGGCAAAACTAATGGCAATTTCCTTCATGTCGGCTGGTTTCTTCTCCTTTCGTTCGGTTTTGTTTTCATTCTTGATTTCACCAGCACCGAGATCACCAGATTCGCTGCTCGAACTGTCCATATTCCTTTAAACGAGCCATTATTACTATTATTAAACGTAGGTAGTTAATCTAAGCGGAGGTCTAGGTCAGATCAAATTTTTAAATTAAACGTTTTATATAAATTGTACGAAAGCGGTTTGCTGTGTTTTTAGGAGCGGTATATATGGGAATAAAGATGTGTGCGGCTGTTTGCGAAATTATGTCAGAACTATCGATTTTTGTCGCTTGAATAATGTTGTGTTTGGTGGCCAGTAAAGTTTGCGTGCCAGTGGCGTGTAATTATAATATTAAAAATAAAAGATACTACACTAGAACAATTAATTATACAGGTATGTACAATGTTTACTTGGTAAGTAATATTTTTAACTGTTAAGGAGCCACGATAAAGCAAACCTGCTGATTCCTGCTGCTGATAATACGTATAATGAATTATTTAAATTGCTCAATGAAAGATTCTGTATTATTATAGTGACTAACGCCGGCTCTTGAAATTTATAGACAGCTAATGTTTAGCGACAATGGTATGAGGCAAGGGTATATTTTATCGCCTCTAATTTTAACATCAAATTATCATTATAGTATGTAAGATGCGTAGACGACACGGTACTTACTGATAAGAAAGATTTGCAAGTACTCATAAACAGACCTAATGACAGAACCATGCGATATATATCGACCCAAAATGGGTGAATGGCATACAGCTAAAAAGAAAAAAAAAATGACCACCAACTATTTGGCGCCAATTTAAATGATAAATGGGATATGAATGAAGAAATAAGAATATGCATAAAAAGGCCAAACTCATATATCAAGGACTTCTATAATTTAAAATTACTTTCCATTCTATACAAGGTCAAGGAACAACAGAATCAACCAAAGTTGTGTTTTTTTTAATTGAACACCCTATATATATATAATTAAAACAATTTTAAATATATTTTTTTAAAATATGAAATATTATTAATTTTAGAAATATTTACAGTTTTGTTGAGAAAAATGGTAATATTTAAAGCACTGTGAATTAATTTTGCAAAGTAATAAAAAGGTAAAGAACATGTCAAAGTTTTTCTAGTATAGTGGCCTTTTGTAAATAATTTAATATCTTTGATATGTAACCATACAATATACAGTGTAATACATTTTTTTTTAATGGAATACCCTGTATATTAGTATTGTATTTTGTAGAAAATATTACAACTTTTCTTTTGATGTAAGGCTGTGTTTACCTAGCTTGTTTAGTTTTGTAGTAAGTGCCTTTTTATTACAAGTCTAAGCTTTCGTCTATGTTTATAGACTTCATCACAGTTTAAACTATAAAAACAAATAAGAAATTAAGTATGGAGCTGTATATTTGTAATTATTCAGACGTCAATAAAGCTAATTTGTCTTATAAAGTGTGTCCAGGAACGAAAAGGGTGTGTAAATATGCCACAAAGTAAAAAACTAAAAGGTAAACTTTGAGAACTGACAACAATTTGACAATGAAAAACTTAGGTTATACTTCTGTTGAAAGTTCAAAGGCAACTAGTGCAAAAAATATTAACTTAACTTTTATGACGAAAAAACGAAAAACTTTCAAATCGATTTTTCTAGAAAACGGTGTATCCTACAGATTTAAAGTAAAAGTCAAAAGAAAAGGCAAAAAAGTATTTTTGAAGTGTGTATATTTTTAATAATTCCTAGCTGAGCGCTTTCGGCTTTACAAAGCCATCATCGGAGCTATGCTACAATAAAATGTTCTTATAAGTACTGATTGGTGAAGATTTTAATTTTTTTACTTACGTCAATTTATAAATACCACTACAATGGAGAGATCTCATTTCCTTATATGTTGAAATATTGATTTTTTATTTAATTACTTAGTTTTTAAAATTTTTAAAAAAATATATAAAAAACCGACACTGGACTTCACAGACACATTAAAAAATTGAAACATTTTTTGTCATGGTACGGGTGTAAGAACCCGACCATTGTTTGCTGTGAGGAGGTAGACAGAATAGAACTAATGAAATCAAATGTCTGTCCTTTTAAACGATTTTTCAAAAGTGACAGTTGACAAATGTCATATATAGGAAATTCGTTTAAAAGGACCGACATTTGATTTCATTAGTTCTATTCTGTCTACCTCCTCACAGCAAACAATGGTCGGGTTCTTAAACCCGTACCACAGAATAATAAACAAACAGAATGCCCACTCTCCACGGAAAATTAAGTACGCGCATCTCCTTCGCGCAGACGTTCCGCCATGTTTTACGAGGATTTTAAAGGGAACCAGTGTTGTTTATGTGGTGTGCATGGAAAAAAAACTAGGTTTATTTGACTTAAGGCAATTATAGACATACTATACAATTATATTAACAGTTTTAAATATAATAACATAAATATAATATAATTAAACATAAATGTAAACAATTGCATAACCTCACAAATCATATGTTTGTGTCCTCCTAAAACATGGCGCGCGTGCTGAAAAGGCGGCAACTGAGAGTGGTCTTTCTGATTGTTTATTATTCTGTGCCCGTACCATGACAAAAAATTTTTCAATTTTTTAATGTGTCTGTGAAGTCCAGTGTCGGTTTTTTATATGTTTTTTAAGAATTTTAACAACTAAGTAATTAAATAAAAAAATCAATATTTCAACATATAAGGAAATGAGATCTCTCCATTGTAGTGGTATTTATAAATTGACGTAAGTAAAAAAATTAAAATCTTCACCAATCAGTACTTATAAGAACATTTTATTGTAGCATAGCTCCGATGATGGCTTTGTAAAGCCGAAAGCGCTCAGCTAGGAATTATTAAAAATATACACACTTCAAAAATACTTTTTTGCCTTTTCTTTTGACTTGTCATAAGTGTGTATAAAAAACATATAAGTCTTTTGATTTTTAAAGTAAAAGTACCTTTTAGTGCTAGAAAATTTAATAATTTAGTATTAAAAATGCCTAAAAGTTAAAAACACAAAAGTTATGCGTTAACATAACTGTTGACCTACCCAAAACGGACGCCTATGAACGGCACTAGAAATTCGCAATTAATGGAATCGATTCAACTCTGGACGGTACATAATCGCTTTTTTATTTTTCTGAATAAAATCGTTCTGAAGGTATTTAAAAAAAAATTAAGGTGCCACAAGGGCTCTAGCTCGCTTAGGAATCATTCGTGGACTAAATGAATTGGGTTAAATTTTCTTAAAATTATTTGAGCAATCTCTGGTCTTCGTTTGTCATGAGAGTCTCTGGACACTCTGTATAGTGTCTATTATCATTCATAGTGTCATGTGATATCTGATATGTCGCTATACATTCACTAATATCGAAGATGCTGTGTAGTGCCCTTTTAGTAGTTGCCTTGTTTGTTTTTTTTTCTTAATATATATATATATATATATATATCTTAATATATTCATTATACCCGCCCCTTTCTTCTATTCTCGATATATATATATATATATATATATATATATATATATATATATATATATATATATATATATATATAATATATTCGATATATCCTTCCCTTTCATTTAACGCATCACACGCAATCTCGCATCGCACGCAATGCCCCTTTGGCAATGATGCCATGTGCATTGTTTCTATCTCAACATAGTCACTACCCCCTCTCCTTTCCAGTGATGTGTCATACGTCACAATCCGACTAACTATTCTACCCCCACCACAAAATGCTCAAGTTTTGCTTAATAAAAATCTTACCTTACAATAGTAAACTATATTTTTAGCAATTTTACGAAAAAATTAGCTACTGATACGTATCGTTTCAAGAATAAAATGTGATTGAGATACCAGTTGGTAGTTCAGATTTATTTCCTAGATGGCGCTAGGAGTTGCTGTCATCCTAACTTTTCATATAGATAGATTGTTAATATTTTTTAGAACACTATACATCAAGTTCTTTAAAATTTTAAAAATCTTAATTTTTTTCTTTAAAAATTTTGTTTAATGAGTTTAATAATTTTTAAAATTTGTTAAATATTATATCGAATTTATTCTTCATTTTCATTTTCAGTATTATCTTGTATCTATGTTTAATTACTTCATTTTGATTATCATTACATTTAATTTTATTTTATTTAATTTTGTTTAATGTTATTTAGTGTTAATTAATTTTACTTATTTTTTTTAAATTTTGTTTAATTTTATTTAATTTAATTTTTTTATAATAAGTGTTTATGTAAATGTATGTAAATCTTACCTAACAATTTATTACAGCAACTTATATTTTTAGCAATTTTTCGAAAAATGAATTACTGAAGAAAGAAATCAAGATCAAAATCAAGAACAAAAATTATTGAAATGTCAGATGTTGGTAGTTGAGATTTCTTTCCTAGGTGGCGTAGTTACCCTACCAGACAAACGTCCTAGCCTTTTATATAGATATTTTTTTCTAATTTGACCCACACAGTTTTCACTCAGAGTCTGTAATTGTATATTTAGCATTTTTATAAGTGACATTTGTACTTTTATTGAATAAATAAATAAATATTTTGAGCATGTGTCTATAGCACCACATCTTGAGTGCTTCCAACTTTTTTATTTCTGATATATTAAATGTCCAGATTTCCATTGCATAGAACAAAGTAGATAAAACGTAACATTTTAACGATCTTATTATTAAGATCACGATTAGTAAGAATCTTTTGCATATTCACATCACAATTTCAATGCGTGTGCTTATTTCTCTACTTTATTCGTTGTTCTCATTTAATATATTCGCGATATTTGCAGTTGCCAACACTTTCTATCTATTTTTCTTCGATCAATCGCCTTCCTCCTCCAAGCACGCATTCCAAAATTTCTCATGTCTTCATCTTTTTCTCTTGCCAATGGGTCCATCAAAGAAGGCCCAAAATTTATCATCAATAAACAAAAAACTATTTAAGATTGTCTAGATATAAATTGTACATAAATAGTACCCTTCATATTTACATTGTCTCCACCTATGTTTAACAACATAATTATATTCACCGAATGATAAATTTATAAAATGTTAAACTAGCATAAATATCTTAGCTATTGAAAATAGATTATTTAATATTAATATTAATTTAAAAAATAATAAAAACGATAATACGTAGTAATATTCGTACAAAATGTTGAACTTCATAAAGTGTGAGATATGAATATGATATCTATAAAATATCCTACCTACATAATGTTTTTGTTGTCTAGGCATTTTTTTTTATAAGTATCTACAGTTTTTCATAAAATATTTGATCACCAAGTAAAGTCGAGATTTTTATTGTCTGCGCTATTAGTGCAGTGGGAGTTTTTCAAGGTAACGAAAGATTTTTAAAATATTAACACAA